GTTCAATTCATAGTGACCCTGTACAGGGTTTCCAAGGATCTTGTTGTTCAAAGCGACCTTGTGGTCAAGTCCATCATCCCGTGGCCCCACACCAGGTGACAGTTATTACTGTTAAGTGCTGTCTGATCGCTTCCGACTCATAGCGACCCACTATAGGGTCTATTTCTGAGGCTGTAAATCTTCACAGGAGCAAACAGCCTCATCTTTCTCCTAAGGCATGGATGGTGAGCTCAAACAACTGACCTAGTGGTTAGCAGTCCAGTGATTATTCCAGAGTCATAGCACTCTCAGCAGGCTAGGTGGGATGCTAAAAGATATCTTAAATGTCTTTCAGGATGAAAATTTTAGATGTTAAATGGAAAGTACTATTTTCCAATCTAATCTTATTCCATATATTTAACTGTCCATGAAAACACTGGAGTATGTAAGACATACAGTTTGAGTGCTTGTTACAGCTACAGCCACAAATTCATATACCAATGTTTATGTACAGTTTGACATACTTTGTACCTTATGCCCCACCCTCATGGCTCCACTGACTATTGGTGTTGACAAAAGACAACTATCTGTTAGATTGTATAATGCAAGAGTTGTGCTATTAGGAAGTCCTATACAAAATACAAGGAGCTCTGGTAGTGTATTGGTTATGAATGGGGGTGTATTGGTCAGCAGTTTGAAACTACCAGTGGTCCTGTGGGAGAAAGAAAATATGTGGATTTAGTGGAACTGATGAGGCTTTCTGCTCCCATGAAGATATAACCTCGGAAACCATATACGGGATGGCTGGGTCAGAACTGACTCCACGGCACATAATCATCACCATACTAAATGTACTTGAGTAATCTGAATGTAAACTATATTACAAAATCAAGTAAAACTGAAGGAAGAGGAGCACAGTTTTTAGCGAGCTTCACTGAGTATAGCTGTGCATATGTCACGGTATAACAAGCAGTTTTAATACACTCTTTCTCTACTAAGGGTCAGTCCCTTGAACAACTCAATGGCCTGAAAAACACTCCAATTTTCCATGATGCAAGGCTGTTATGTTGCTAAGACTGCTTCCTTTTCCTCTTAAATCAGAAGTCCTAACAGGTAATAACGACTACTGAATTCATGCTATAACATACTCCCAGCTTCTGATCTCTACAATTTGGAAGCCTTCCAGAATGCTGCTTATCTTATTTTGTTTTGGAAGATACTTTTCTGTCTGTATACAAAATTACTTCTGTCAAATGGATTCCTAAAGTCATTGTGAGTAATTTAAACATTCTTTGAAGTAGTTAAGTTTTAAGTGGCAAAATCACAAAACTATTAAAATAACTTAGGGTAAAAGGGTGTAGTGTGGGTTACTATCTCAAGATGCAAGAATCCATTTTCCTTTTTAATTCTTATTTTCTATGTAGTCATCACAAAGTCTTACACTGAGCAAACTGAGTCTAAGATGACACATTTACAATAATAATGTATTATCTGCCGGAAGGTAGGAACAGGTGATTTTTTTGAGGTATTTTAGAGTCTAAAGGCAAAGATTCTTCTGACTACATAAAAAAGATTCACCTCATACCCCACTCTTTGATTCCTGTGACAAAGAGGAATCCCAGTCTAGGCACATACCCTAAAATGTTTAAAATCAGAAGCTAGTAATCTAATCACAGCTAGAATATACTCTGATCTGTAAAACTTTGATACTTTAAAGATAAATTAAAAAAATGTAGGTATACATTCCAGGAACAGAAGACCCTAGGACCATCAAAGGAGAAGAGCATGAGCAGAATGTGGGACCCTATCTAGAGAAGCAGTGACACCAGAGATGGAGGAAAAGATGATGACACGGACAAAAAGAATAGCTGAGGACTCTAGAATCATGGACAGCAGGCAGGTTTGCAGAATGTGCCCTTGGGTTATTTAAATGATTATATATTCCTGAGTGTTTTTGTGTACATCAAAAACAAAACACTCCAGAGGGAACAGAAGTAAATATTGTTAAAAGGTGATGCATAAAGGGGATTGTAATCATTACAGTGATACAAAATACAGGAAGTTGAGTACAAAAATGATGTTCTCCCATCTAAACTATCACTCAATATACAACAAACACTTAAAAAACAAAACAAAACAAACTTCACCTTGGGAGGATATACTCAGTTGCCTTACTAAGGCAAATCATTTTTAAAAGTTTGTTAGTGAAAGTTGAAATGTCCTGTTTGATTTGAAAGTAGAGAAGTGATGACACCGATAACTGAAGAAATATGTGGATTTAGTGGAACTGCTATTGGTTGGCAATGTTTTTATGTAGCTAAAAGATAATTCTGTTGCTGACAGATAATCAGGACAAACAAGGAGAGTTTGAAGCACAATGGGTTCAGTATTTTCCTTATGGAATTTTTGGCACTAGGTTATTTTACAGAGAAAGACTGTTGCTATTTGTTGTTGGGTGCAATAGAGTCAGTTTCGGCTCATAGCAAATTTGTATAAGATTTCCAAGGAGCAGCTGCTGAGTTTGAACCACTGACCTTTTTGTTAAAAAAATCCTTGCAGTCTAGTGCTTTATCCTAAACTGCCACACCAGGACTCCTCAGAGAAACATAGTCTATGAATGTATGACTCCTATTCGTAAAGTGAGTAGTAGAAAATGACTTGGAAGACTTCATTAAGAGGGTGTATAAAAGGTAACGTAGTGGTTATGAATTGGGCTGCACACTGCAAAGTCAGCAGTTTAAAACTACCAGCTGTTCCACGGGAGAAAGATGAGGCTTTCTGCTCCCGTAAAGATTTACAGCCTCGGAAACGCTGTACAGGGTCGCTATGAGTCGGAACCAACTCCACGGCACATAGCCAATACCACCAAAAGGCAACAGAAATAAACAGGGCACGAATAAAAATCTTAATTATGAAAAATTTATTTGAAGACAATGTATTTAATTTTTTTCTAGAATCTTAATTAAGTTGTAAAATTCTCTCAGCAGTTGTTTTAAATAAAACAAAGCACTTTTAAACATAAGAAAAAAAAGCACATTAAACCTCTAGGTTGTATATTTTTTAATGGTCTAATCTTAATTTGGAGTCTTGGTATGGTGCCATAGGATGAGCACTCAACTTCAAGGTCAGCAGTTCGGGGTCACCAGCCACTCCCTGAAAACTCTATGTAGGGTCACTAGGAATCGAAACCAACTCGATGGCCCTTAACAACAATCTTATTTTTTTCCATAGTAATTTCCTTCATTGTATGATTAAAGACGCATTTACCACTTTTAGATTAGTGATATTACCCTATGATTTCTTCTTAAATTTTCTATGACTTTTTTCTTACACTAACCTCTGAAATCCACGTGAAGTAGACTTTTACTAAAGTAAAGGTACCTACCCCAAGCCCTCTACCCCTCCATACTCTCCTACCAAAATAACATTAATATTGTTTATGAAATATTTCTCTTTTTTCCAAAGTTGTGGTATTACTAGGAATATTTTCCACAAACACAGCAAACAAAATATTTAAAACTTCCATCAATACAGAATTCATGTAAGTGAATAGAGTATCAGGAAAAGCAAATAGAGATAGAGTTAAGATGACATAAACGGAAAAGTCATTAAATAACACACATAAGCAAAAAAAATACAGGAAAACATTTAGACATTTTTACCAAAAAAATTCAGAATTAAACCATGTACTTAAATTTTGAAAACTGTTAAAAAAAATGTCATAGTAGAGATTTTTTAAATAGCTGAATATGTAAAGAAGCAAAAAACCCCAAAACACCCATTATTCAAAGGACTAAAAATTAGTACATTATTTCTGGAAGACAATTTCACAATCTGTATCAAGAATATTTATAACTTTTTCTACCAATTAAACTTGTAAGTTTTAATTGTCAGGGAAACTTCAGATACATACATAAATATTCATATGATAGAGGTTTATTGTACCATTAGTTAAAATAGTAAGAAGTTCTAACTTCTTGAATGCTTAGAACCAATAAATGTTTAAACACATCTGTGGTGAAAAAAACATTGCTGAACACTACGCTAATATTAAAATGTACTGTTCTAAGGAATATTGATAAATGGGTAAATTATTAATAATATATCAATAGAAAAGGCTAAATATATCCATGTAATTTCAATTTTGCAAATGTATACATATATGCTTACTGTAAAAAATAGGCAAATAAATATTTTAAATATATGTTCCAAAACATTAGCAGTGCTTGCCTCTGTGTGGTAGCAACCTATGTGATATCCTTATGTGCTTTCACAGTGCTCTACAATATCTACATTATTTTCAGAAACTAATTTCAAAATATTAGTTATATAAGAGAATCTAATAGCTAAAAATATGGCTTGTTTAACACAGTAATTAAAGGAATACAACTGGAATGATTAACTCAATATGCCTATAAAATTATACCTTATTCTTGTATATATATTCATTTGGGAAAGGGAACAATTAATATTGCTGTTAAAATTAAAGTTATGTAAATAAAGAGAAAAAAAAGTATAGGCAGCTGTAGGAACCAAATTTTACACTAACTGAATGTAATGAAAAATTTCAATTCTATAAATGTTAAATAGGTTTTTTAAAAAATAATCATTAATTTACCACACGATGATACAATTGTAGTGTGAAACACAAGACCACTGAAAAGTGTTCCAGTTCTTTATGCTATGATCTTACTGTTTTTCTTAATCTGAAAAGAATAAATTTGTCTCTTGTAGTGTTTCCTGCTCACTAGGATATAATATTGCAAAAATTTTATTCAAGTGATTATTAAAGTGCTACATCTCCCTTGCTATATATATTTTTTCTCATTGTGATATAACCTTATATAGCAAAAAACTTACCAACTCAATAATTTTTTGGGTTTTTCCAAATATCTTTTAAGAAAGACTCTTTTATCAAATACAATGAAAAGCATTTCTCTTACACATTTTAGTTTCAAGAATAAAAGTACCAATTGTCCTCCCAATTTCATGTAGTTTCCAATTATGTATTAATTACATACCTCGGCTTCCATATGATAAGCATTTTCCACTCTTCTAAAATCCTTTGTTACTGTTACATTTTCTTCCTGAAACAAAGTACAAGGATCCGATTACTAAATGTTTAGTGATTAAACACAATTATTCCAAACATAAATTAGAAATCCAAACTTAGTAGAGGTATGCAGAAAGAACTATTTTGCATGATGTTTAAAAATGTTTTTAAACAAAATCAAATAAATTCAGAAACCTAAAATATCTGCTGACATTTCCGAACTATCACTCCATTTGTAGTAGTTTTTATAGTAACCTGTACAAGAAAGTATGAACTTAGGGTTGAATATGAATACATATTATTTTATGTAGAATGCATAAGAAATCGGTATATAATGTATTTCAAATGTTTAGGAGTATTAGGACGGCAAGGTCGGTGTGATTATCAAGGTCAGCAGTTCAAGTTCACCAGCTGCTCCTCAGTAACCCTATACAGGGTTGCTATGAGTTGGAAATGATTTGACAGCACTTAACAATAGGAGCTCTGGTAGCGTAGTGGTTATGAATCGGGCTGTGAACCTTAAGGTCAGTGGTTCAAAACTACCAGCCGCTCCGCGGGAGAAAGATGAGGCTTTCTATTCCCGTAAAGATTTACAACCTCGGAAACCCTGTACAGAGTCGCTATGGGTCGGAACCGACTCGATGGCACTTAACAACAACAACAAACAACAACAATAATCTGCAGCTTTGGGAAATTACACAAGTCTTTTTTGAGATTTAGTTCTATACACTGCAAAGGCTCCACAGGAAGCCTATTTCTCTGGGCAATAGAAACCTTTATTAAAACAAAAATCGCAATATAAAGCAATTTTTCCTTAACATATTCTCCATCTAGTTCTAAACACTTTTGAAGACAGTATTTCTGTCTCTCTAACCTTTACTCCTGGTGTGGCACTGTAGGATAAGCACTGGACTTCAAGGATGGTTTGAACCACAAGGTCAAACCACTTCTTGGAAGCCCTATTACAGGGTAGCTATGAGTCAAAACTGATTTGATAGCATTTAACAACAACAAACTCTCCTCCAAAGAATTCTGCACTCTTTGATTTACATCATGTCCAAATGGCTGTTTTAGTATCCTCTAGTTTCTTATATCTTGTTTCTTTTATTATTTGAGTTTTAGAAACAAAAAGAAGTCTGAAGGGGCAAGATTAGGGCTGTAGGGTAAATGGGGTAAGGTTTCTCAATGAAATTCTCACTCTACCCTTGAAGAATAATCAGATACATTGTTGTGGTGGGGAAAAAGAAAATCCAGGGCCCAACTTCCCTTTTTCTCACAAACGCAGCAATTTCCTTATAACTTCAAAATCCCGTGATCATCCTGTGTCCTTCGAAAAAAATCTACCAAGATTACCTCTCAGGAATCCTAAAAATCTGTAGCCATAACCTTGCCAGTTGATCTCTCTACCCTGAATTTAATTGGACAAGCAGATCCCCTTGAAAGCCACTGTTTCAAATGGACCTTATTTTTGCAAGGTTTCTTAGTAAGATTAAGACAAGTGTATTACTGAAAGCACTGGACCAGATGTCACTTTGAGCCACATGGTCAGCAGTCCAAACTCACCAGCTGCTCCTTGGAAGCACTATACAAGGTTACTATGAGTCAGAACTGACTTCACAACAACAAATTACTGAAATAATTTGTCTACAGGTACTGTAATGGTTACGAATCGGGCTGCAAACTGCAAGGTCAGCAGTTCGATACTACCACCTTCTCCACGGGAGAAAGATGAGGCTTTCTATTCCCGTAATGATTTACAGCCTCGGAAACGCTGTTCAGCGTCGCTATGAGTCAGAACGGACTCGATGTCACTTAACAACAACATCCACTCCTTGCAGAAACATGCTTATGCATGTTTTGTTGGAATAAACCCATACTTATACAAATTAGAAACCTAGTAGTAATATTTTTTGATTTGCCCTTATACATACAAAGTATATTATTGTTAAGTGCTGCTGAGTCAGTTCTGATTCATAGTCAATGGGTTTTTGAGGAGCTACTAGTGGGTGTGAACAACTGACCTTGCAGTCAGTCAGCAGTTCAGTACTTGTCTTCCAGCACACCAAACCAGGACTCAATAGGGTTTTCAAGGCAGGTAAATTGTAACTACTGACCTTGAGGTTAGCAGGCCAGTTCTAAATCCACTCTGCTACCAGACTCCTTATAAAGTATACTTTGTTGTTAGGTGCCATCAAGTCGGTACCGAATCATAGTGACCCTATGCACAGCAGAACGAAACACTGCCCAGTCCAGGGCCAACCTCACAATCGTTGCTATGCTTGAGCCAATTGCTGCTGCAATGTATACACAAAAAGTACACAACCCTACTATATATATAAAGTAGCTTCAGAACTATTAACCTGTACACCCTCTGGTCCACCAATGGTTTGTGAAGTTTGTTGTACTGTGGTGGCTTGTGGGTTGCTATGGTGCTGGAAGCTATACCAATGGTATTTTAAATACCAGCAGGGGTCAACCATGATGGAGTTTCTAGACTAGGATGAAGGAAAGGCAGACCAGTCTGAATGGTCAGTCATTGAAAACCTTATGAATATCAGAAGAACATTATCTGATATAGTACCGGAAAATGTGCCCGAAATCAGAAAGCACTCAAAATACAACGGGCGAAAGTAGCCTCTCCAAAGTGGTGGTGGTGGTGGTGATGTGCCGTGGAGTCGGTTCCAACTCATAGCAAGCCTGTACAGGGTTTCCGAGGCTGTAAATCTTTATGGGAGCAGAAAGCCTCATCTTTCTCCCGTGCAACAGCTGGTAGTTTCGAACTGCTGACCTTGCGATTTGCAGCTTGATTCATAACCACCATGCTACCAGAGAGTTGACCTTAATGATGTGGACAGAGAAAAGCTTTTGGGACCTGCTGGTAGGGCACAACTAAAAATGAGAAACAACAGTTGCAAATATTCATTAGTAATTGGAACATGGACTATATGATGTATGAACCCAGGAAAATTGGAAGTCATCAAAAATGAGATGGTACACACAAAGATCTATAGCCTAGGCGTTAGTGACTTGAAATGGACTGGTATGGGTCATTATGAACTGGAAAAGCCATATTCAGAAGAGGACATGAAGAAGGAAAGTAGCCCCGATGGCACTCTGCTGTAAGCACTGGATTGCTAACTGCAAGGCTGGCAGTTTAAACCCAAGAGCCGCTCTGTAGAAGAAAGATAGAACTTTCTGCTCTCGGAAAGATTTACAGCCTTGGAAACCCAATACAGGGTGTTATGAGTCTAAATTGATAGCAGTGAGTTTATTTATTTTTTTGAGTTCCCTTTGGTAAAGGAACAGCAATCAAGCAGAGATAGGATGATAATAATTTCTGTGGTTGTATTTTAGTTACCATTTTATGGTTTAGTTCTTTTTATAAACTGGCTCTGCTAGAAAATTTGCTTAGCTGCTATTTGCATTTTGTTGGAAGCATTGTTTATATTGTTTGGAACATCTCATCAATCTGTTTTCATTTCCCCATCCCCCCTAATATTATTTGGAATTTCAGAATTTATCAAATATACAAAAATATTGATAAGACAACTACATCTTAATGTAGACTGCTTTCAAATTATACAGAATTCCCTTCATGAATCAACGCTGGTTTAGTATTTGTCCTTTTTTGATTGACTAATTTCACTCCGCATAATATCCTCCAGGTTCATCCATGCTGTAAAATGTTTTGCATACTCATAGCTGTCACTTTCCTGTGTATTCTTTTGTGGTGCTATTGCATTGTAGTTGACTTCATTATAAATTGAAATCTCTGGTTCCTTGTTTTCAGTCTCATAGGTTTGCTCTTCTTTAAATACTTTTGTATCTGGATTGAATTTTGGGTGGGGTTGTCAAATACATGAATCAAATACATTTTTGTTTGTTGTTGGTTCTCAGTCCAAAGACCTAACTTTAGTACTTTTTGTAAAGTTGGCCTGGTTATTATAAATTCTTTTGATTTCTATTTATCTGGAGATGTACAAATTTCATTGTCATATGGGAAGGACAGCTTTGTTGGGTATATAATTCTTAAAGGTTGGAAATTTTTTTCTTCCAGAATTTTATATATGTCTTCCTATTGCCTTCTTTCCTACATGGTTTCTACTGAGAAATAAAAGCTTGGTCTTACTGGTACTCCTTTGTAGGTAATTTTCATTATTCCCAAACTACTCTCAGGATTCTTTCCTTGTCTTTGGTTTTGAAAAGTTTGATTATGAAATGTCTTGGTGATTTTCTTTTGGAATATATTCTGTTTGGGGTTCTATCAGCTTGTTTGCTTATTTTCTCATCTTTTATGATGTTAGGGAAGTTTTCTTCCATCAGCTCTTTGACAATTTTCTGTTTTTCTTTTTTAAATAGTTTCTTCCTGTTCTGTAATTCCTGTTGTTGTTGTTAAGTGCTGTTGAGTTGGTTCTAAACTATAGCAACTTTGTATAGGATTTCTGCCGAGAGGCTGATGAGTTCAGACTACTGACCTTGCAGTTCAAACAGACCTTGCAGTCCAGTGCATTATCCCACAGCGCCATACCAGGACTCTAATTCCTATCACCTGTAAATTATTCCTCTTTGCTGTTTTTCTAGTTTACTAGTATTGAGAGATTTATCTTCAAGCTCACCTATTCGTGCTTCCATTGCTTCATATCTATTCCTTTGCTCTTTCAATGTATTGTTCATTTCTGAAATCTTAGTATTAATCTGGATTTCTAATTGCATTTATCTTGTCTGTTTGTTCTTTTCCCCGTGTTCTTGCTTTTCTTGATCTTCCTGTCAATCCTTTGAAGGTGCCTAAATGTCATTCTTTTGAATGCGTTTTCCATGAGTTCCATAACCTTTTCTTCCTCCGAAATGTTTTCTGGATCTGTATCTTGGTCATTAGTTTGAGTCATCCTCTCTTGTTTCTTTGTGAGTTAAAATTGTCTGCTGCTTCTGGGACATTGTGTAGTGTTGTCGTATTTGCATTTAATAGATGATTGCATTCTTAGGCCCTCACCAATTGTCTCCTGTGTGTGTAGTTAGAGAAAGAAAATACTATTT